TGATTAAGTAAATTCCCAACAGTGAAGACATTCAGATGTTTAATAAAATAATTTGAATTTTGTTGAGATTTTTGCAGCATAATTTTTATCAAGAATGGGAAATTGTGGTTATTTTTCCCATTAGTTTTTTTTTTTTTTAAAGAAAGGAGAAATGGATGAAGTTGAATTATTTTTTCACATTTTATTAAATCTTAAAGTCTCTATTGATGCTTATGAAGAAAAAGAAGAAATTTCTAGTTAATTTTCTGCTGTTACCTAATTTTACTTGTAGAATACAAAGTTATAACTCTTCATGCTTGCCTTCAGTGAGCTTTTTCATATCAATGGAATTCTTCCATTTTGTGTAACATTTCACTGAGATACTTGTTGGAAATTCTGTACCTACAGTTCCAATTCTAGTAATCAAAAGAGGCATTTGGGTTCTGATTTAATTTTCTTGGAATTTAAATTTTGTACCATTTGAGGAAACACTTGGATTTCCTGCTAAAACTTTCTTGTCATTTGAGTCCTTAACGGGGATTTGGCTTTTTATTTCAGTCTACCACAGTTAATTCCAGAAATCTGGATCTGGTGAGCTTAAAGAATCAGGTATTGCTTCACTGTTAATCATCTTTTATCTATTTGGATTAAATTTTATGCAGTTTTTTGTTCCTAAATTATTTGATATGCTAGAATTTTGTTGTCTTAGCATCTCTTCATGAGAACTATGCTATATTATTTTATTTCCGTGTTATCCATACAATAGTAGAGGTGCGAATTCTGTGATTACATATCTTGTTTCAAACAATTAGTCTAGCTCATGAATTACCTTTTTTTCTTTTACATATTTGTACTTTGTACAACATATTTTACATGACTAAATAATGAGAGATTAGGAATAAACGAAAGAATCGAAATATATAGAGAGAAAAATGTTCTCCTGGTTTCGAGTATCTTCTCATCCAAGTGGAAACTCTTATTAATGGTGTGCGTGCCCTTCCATTCCAACACCATCTCACGGTCTTTGTGTCCTTCAATCTTAACCTTGTACGAATTCTCTCTTTTGTTCACAATCTGCTTAGCTTCTGCTAAGCTTTCTTGGCTCAGTTTCAAGCCCTCCAATTCGCTTTATGATTGATGATCAGAATTTTCCGTCAATTCCTCCGAGCAACTCATATAAGATGCTAGGAAAAGATTATCCATGGCTGTTCTTGCATCCGCTAAATGATCTTGGAAACTCTGTTCTAATGATTTGAACAGAGCTAGGTAATACTTCAAAAGTTTGTCCAAGAATGAACCAAAACAGGAACAAGTTCTCGAACAAGCCTCTGATTCTCCATAACCAGGTGTCACCATTCCTGTAGAGGCTCCATAATTGGCTAGTATTTGCTTTGCTACCTGTAGAAACTCTGTGGCATTACTTCTTTGCCTTGTTCTACCCATGTGCGGAAGCCTAAACATGCAGTTGAACACTAACCACTCTCTGCCTCGTCCTCGTTTCTTCGTCCTGGTTAATTCACTCACTAGATCTGAAACACTCTTTTCGTCGATTTGTAGTATCTGACCAAGTTCTCTTGCATGATATTGGAGCCGTTGTTTTGTTTCCTCAATGTCCCAAAACAGAGCATCATCTGATTTTATCAATGTGAATCTTAATGCCTTGTGCATTCAACTTATGGCCTCAATGACTGAAGGCCATTGTATCCCTTCTCCAATATCAAAATCAATTATGTGCACTGTTGCTGCATCATCTGGGAGACCTTGATAGAGCTAATCTTCCATATGGGAGACCTTCATAGAATGCCTTGAACGCTGCCCTAAAATTCTTGAGTGATTCTTGCCTTGATTTTATTTCACCTGAAATAAATAGAAGGCCACCCATTTCATTGTCTTTCGCAGGGGATTGCTCTTCTCTTCTATTATTAGAAGTTGATAAATGACTTGAATTGAAAAATCAGCAAATAGGTGATTTGGAGACTCAGCAACACACTCATCCGTGGAAGACACATCAGCAAGTGAGGACCACTCAGCAGCAACAGAATACGAATGCTCTAGAAGAGGAGAAAGAGGAACTTTGTATTTGTTAGGAATTTGTTATATTTTCTATTATATGCATTGTGTATATATGTTCTTCTAGAATTGTCTATGGCTTAGTATATATTCACGGGTCCTCTGTACATTTCATGTAGTGTGTAAAATTCAATATAATTTTTCATTATTCTTCTCTCAATCATCAAGCAAATTATTCTCATAATTTGATCTTCACTTTCTTGAAATGGTATCAGAGCAAGGTTTGGGGGAATCCAACCCTGATAATACAATTATAGATCAAATTCAAACGCAAAATCCAAACATTAATCAAACTGGTAACTTATCCAGTGTTACCAGCCATGATCCTGCCCAGCCAAACAATCGGAAGCAATGACAATCCTGGAGCCATGCTTGTCACTCACGTCTTGGATGATAATAACTATCACTCATGGGCTCGATCAATGAAAAGAGCATTGCGAATCAAAAACAAATTGGGATTTATTGATGGCAGCTTCAATGAACCTACAGACCTAAATGACTCACTCATGAATCACTGGCTGCATTGCAATGACCTGGTAATTACTTGGATGCAAAACACTATGGCAGTTGACATCAAATGTAGTACCACATATACTGAGACAGCATACCACCTATGGATTGAGTTGGAACAACGCTTTGCTCAGCAAAATGTACCTCGAATTTTCGAAATCAAACAAGCTATAACTATGTTGCTGCAAAACCAAGATCCTGTGAGTGTCTATTTTTCAAAGTTCAAAGCTCTTCTAGATGAGCTAATGAATTATGAAGTTGTACCTAACTGTAGTTGCGGAGGTTTAAGGATTGTGGTTCAGAATCAACAAAGGGATTTGGTAATGAAATTCTTAATGGGTTTGAATGATTCATATAAGGGGATTAAAGCACAAATCCTTCTGATCAAACCTTTTCATGCTTTGAACGAAGTCTATTCATTAATACAACAAGAGGAGAAAAGAAGGGAAATATCAGATGGAGGATCTTCCTATGAGTCTATGGCTCTTTTTACAAAAGGAAATTTTAAAGAAAAGGTGAAACAGAATAATTACACACAGAGGAAAGATAGATATTATTGCACTTTTTGTAAGATTGCAGGGCATTCAATTGACAGATGCTTCAAGGCAAATCCAGACAAGCCAATTTGCACTTACTGTCAAGTACCTGGCCATCTAGCGGACAACTGTTTTAAACTTCATGGCTATCCTCCAAGCCACAAATTCAATGGAAGAGAAAAGGCATATGCAAATCAAGTTGTTGTATCTCTATCCCCTGTACATGAGGTTGGAAATAACAAGTCTCAGGTGTCTTTGAGTCAGGAGTAGATTTCACAGCTCATGGCTATCCTTAAACCAATCACTAATTCT